AGGAATAGTACTTAGCATCAAATTTACTTTCACAGCGCTTGTTTCAGAATTTAGAAAAAGATTTGACGAAAAGTGAGCCTTCAAAAAGACGTGGTAGACCCTGGATTCCGGCAGAAGAGATGACTCCTCTTCAATTTGAAAAAGTTTCTGTTTACTTTCTAACATTTCTTTATATCTTTATACTTCTTTATAACAAAGCTCGTGTTGAATTGTCTAATTTAGTATTGAAATCATTTTTAACAACATATTTTTTTAGGCTCTCTATCGGCGATACCCAAAGTCTTATAGATCTCACCTCAAAATGAATGCTGAAGAAAAAGCTGCTGCCTATCAGCAGTACCTTGAAAAAGAAGAAGAAATACAGTCTTCAACGCAAGCGAAAACGGAGGAAGGTCATAGACAGTAAAAGTAGTAGAAATGACAAAGAGTTAATACCTCCAAGAGTGCTCCTCTGTTACCTGTGGCGGTTTAAGGAAGGACTTTTCAGAGAACAGTTGGAGAGCAATGAGAATAAACAGCTTTTACAGTAACTTTCTGTTGGGGCACCCTGTGTGGTAGATTGCGAGACATTTTTGACTGCCAGTTTCATTTTGATGCTGGAAAACTTTTTCTATCAAAAAATGCGTATTTCTAAACTCATGTATTTTTCAGGAAATAAAGGGAAACCACGAGCATTTGCTGTGAAAACCAAGTCTAAAGTGTTAAACGATTTGCAAGTTGTCAACAGTTCAGAAGAATTTGTGCGTTCGAAATCAAAAGTCCGTCATGTATTAAGAAAACCAGGGACAGTAGTGTTGTCAGCTGTTGATGAAAGGTGTGTATATCGATAAAACCAGTTGTATATTAAGTATATCTTCATGTGCAGCGTATGAGTTTAGTAGTGAGGTTGTTTGCTTATATCAATGCAACTCTAAAATGATTGCATTTCTGGTGCATATATTTCACACGTCTTAAGTTACTTTATTTTACTAAATTTATGCAATTCTTTTAGAAAACTGAGTATTGCTTTTCAGTGACCGGGAGTTTTTATTTGCTATTGTGCGAAGACTAGGAGTTTTGAGAGTTGCGAAAAATGTTGATGAAGAGACAAGGTTTGTAATTGGAGACGAAAAGGGTTCAAGAACTGTGAATGTGATGTGTGCACTGGTTAGTGGAATCCCTGTGGTTGGCAAAGAATGGGTTAGTTATGAGTTCTTTTCTTTGCCTTTGAAAACCCTGACTATTCATTTCACATTGCAGTGAAATTTGTAGGCGTACCATTCTCTAGACAACATGAGCTGGTTGAGCGCGCAAGAATTTTTAATCCCTAAATGGAAAGGTCCATACAAAGCTTATCGGCGAGGACGACTGCAGCAACTTTTTTCCTCATTAGGACCTTTTTATGTTTCAAATCGGTGTTCTCCTGCGGCGGAACATTTGATTTATTTTATAGAAAAATGTGGAGGAAAAGTGAGGACTATTTTAAAAAACTACTTCATACTTTTCTTTATAAAAGTTCAGTCGAATGTTGCTTAATGAAAGGAATATTTATTTAGTGGGTTATAAACTCACATTTCTCAGGTAACGGAGTCTTTGTCACGAGCTGTTATTTTAATCGCTCCGCAAGAAATCTGGGGAAGTCTGATTTCTCGCCGTAGAAATGACCAAGATGTAGTTCACACAGTGCCGGAATGTTGGGTATTAGGTACTATTTCATAAATTCTTTTATTTTTTTAAACCCATCTTACTCCTTCAAGAGTAATTCTGTTTCAGTTGGAACCAAGCGGATATACAGTAGATATACGATCTTTTAATTGCCTGTTTTCCCGTAATCTTGACATGACATATATGTTACTTGTTTCAGACTCAGTATGCTGTGTTGAAGTTCGCCCTTTCAAAGATTACGAAGGGGATTCGTTAGCACACAGTAGAGCTGATAACAAAAAGCCTGAAGTTGTTGTAGAGGGCATCCCCGACGTTTTCGACAGTGAGAAGCGTGAGCTGGACCCTGAAAAGGATGGTGATTCATTAGAAGCGCTACTGAAAATTACAAATGAAAATGAAAGAGACAGCGGGAACGACTAATGTTCACTCTTTTTATTTCAAATTTTATTGGTCGCAGTAGTTACAGTTTATTGTTAGAATGCCTTTTTACTCGCGGAGAGTCCCCAAAGACTCACAGTGCTAGAAAGCGTAACAAAGGCTTTCCGCCGTATTGTACGGTTGCCCGCAACAATTAGTTCCGTGATTTTCTTAAATTCAGTTCATGTATTTATGTAATGTGTACAAGTTACCCATATTTACCCATATTCTTCTTGATGTTTATTAGTCCTACTCGCCTGCACTGTTTAAAAGCATGCCAGTTGTTTCCAAACTCTTAGTATATTTTTTCCTTGTTACCGAGGAATTAATAACTTGCTATGAGAGATATAAGCGCTTTTTTTTCGTTTCAGGTATTTGAATATTATGCATTTGGTGACTACATAAACAGTAGATCTCAGAGTTGTTCCCTTAAAATGTTCGACTAGTTCCTACACGGTTATTCAGGGCAGTATCTGGATCTTTGCATGTTTTCAAAAAGCTGTCGCTGAGAACTTGATAGAGAAGCACGCTGACTGGGTTCACGGTTTCTGAGACGGCTGGCAGCATGAAGCCCGGTGACTTCGTTTTTATGCCGTTTGGTGTTACTTTGGATTTTGAGACAATTTGAAACTGTTTGACGTTCAGACTGAGATGACTGTTTATGAAGCCTTTAACATTCATAACACAATCAATTCCCGCCCAACTGTTAAAAACTCTGCCAACATCAAACGCCCGACTGTTTTGACAAACCGCAATCTTGATATGGCAACAAAGTGCAGTAATTTCGTAGAGGATATAACGCAGCCGCAATGTCCAGTTCAGAAAAAACATCCAATTCTGCGCAGGTCGATGGCTGTAAATGAAATGTTGTAAATATAATTGTTTAAAACAATTTCTCACCACCTGCAGCCAGTAAACTTTGCGGAAGAGTTAAAAACTCTGTAAGTACATTGGCGTTTCACTCCGGAGTCCACGGTCGAGAAGTTTTATAATAAGTAGGAACTTCTCATATACAGTGGATTTGAATTTTTCATTCCATAGATGCATAGGATGCCTGGGAATGCAGCTTCTTAGACCACTCGCCACCGAGGCAGCTTTGCTACGAAACATCACAAGAACAACAGCAAATATCCCTCGAAAACTTCGTTAATAAACCTAAGAAATCTTGAAGGTTTTCTGCAGTACATTAATCTCGAACCGTCTACTCTTTTTGATACGACCATTTCATAAGCCAGATCCAGTTCTGTTCCCAAATCTAACAACGAAGGTACAATGAGGAACCACCACACTTTTAAGCCCCTAGAGTACAGTAAAATATCCCCTGTGAAAGAGCTTTCAAAATTATTACTTTACATAAACTTTGATGATGGAAAAGTATGAACAACCGCTTTAACGTAAATAAAAAACTCAAACAAATATTTGTCTAACTTTTGCAAGGCCAATATAACAACTGCTGGTTCAAGACCTT